GGGTCAAAGTTCAAGTCAAAGAAACAATGAATTACAATACAAATAACCTAGAAGGTGTGAAAACACACAAAAACAACCAATCAAATCCAAGGTCACCAGGAGAGATGATTAATAAACTCGTGGAGAAATCTGAAAGCTCACTTCAAATTGAAGTATGCGCTGAAGATGTCGCCTAGTAGGGCGATGAGAACTTCGCAAATTAACTATCCAGCTCAGAGAACACAACCACACCAAAATCATCCACCTGAGCTACAAATCTTCTCTATCATATTTAAATCTTACGAGAGGCTACTCTCGCCCGACACTGAAGATCAGATGGAAAAACCAGTAAGAATAAACTACAGCGTAGCAAACCATCCAGGAACCTATGACGGAACATATATGCGGAAGGAAGTAGAATTCGATGGGACATATGCTGGGAACGCTGTTGTTCGACATCTCACACCATGTTGGGCCTCGATGGAGCCCGGTTTGAAGTGAAGAGTTGGGCGTTCGATAGTGACATAGACGAGGCCATATGGAATGAAATCTTCGGGGTAGTCGTAGTACCAGTTGAAAGTGGTAGCAGGGAACCGAGTGGAATGGAAATGTGCAATTTAAGCACTATACTACACTCGGAATGCAAGGAACAAGTAAATAATAGTAACTTTCACTGTTATACAGTGAATAGTTATGGTTTATTGTGTTAATTCAGATCCTTGACTATATAAATTATACACCATTACTGTTCAATGTGGTGCACTCAAGGTGCCATTCACTAGCATAAACCGCTAGAATTAGGTTAACTGGTTGTTACACCTTTCTGGTATGTAATGCTACCAACTCTTGCTTTTAGCTGGCTGACCACTTGGAACGTACAATAATTTCATTCTGCTCAAGTCGTATTATTTCTAAATTTTTCCTTTGATAACAAAGACAACTTTTCCTGAAGAAGGTGCTCCAATGTGCTCTAAGGTTGCCACCTTTCAGAAAATAAGATATATTCTGTATGAATTTTATTTCTCCGATCACTTACTAATTATTCGAATGTTAGATCTGTAGGAGTTAATTGGTCCCAGAGTATATTTCATAATGAACGGAAACCGCCTAATCACCAATTACAATGTATAGTGACGGGACTATATGGTCAAACGACAGTGGTGCTGTCGCAAACTAACATTTCTCTTTAACTCCATAAAAAATTAAGTCTAGATTTGTTAAGTTGCGTCGGTGGCATAGCAGTTAGAATGCTCGCGAACCATGCATATGGTCCGGGGTTTGCCCCCTGGCCGACGCACTCCTTCACCTCGTTAAGCCAGTAATAAAGCTGGTAAAGAGGAAAGGTTGGACATAAGACTAGCAACCCCATCCTGTAAAAATAAACACTGCTACAGAAACTTCAAGCCTCTAGTTTGAAGCCCTATGTTCCACTGGGAACGTGAAGGAATAAAAAAAAGATTTGTTAAGTTCATCAAACGGTAGTTGCTTGTTCAATCAGTGAGAGAGAATTGTTTAATAATTCAAACAAAAACACTTGATATCACTGGTAGAATACACTTCATTTTTCATAACTGTATATGTGATATTACTTGAGGGTTTTCTCAGTGTATGACCATGACTCAATTTGTTGAGAAGTAGGTTCTTCATAGACGACATATACTTCGCCTGTCCCCTTAGGTCTGGAAATTCCATCTCAATGTTGAGAAAAGTCATCAGTTGAACAAGCATGATGTTCTCTTATAAACTGCCCATATATGCATTTTATTGATTACAAGCCGATACTCAATAATCCAACCAAAATCTTTTCAAATGTCACAAGCATTATAAAGCAACCAAGTATTAATAAGTGAACTTGATTAGAAATCTTTCTTCAAAGTATACAACTAGCAATTATGGTAGGAACCCTCTATCCCGTTTGCAAAAACGAATATATTCTGCTTGAAAAAATAGGAACTTAGTTCACATAGCAACACAAATCATGGTAGGAAACCATTCAGCAATAAAATGTGGACAAACGATAAGAAAAGGAAGTTTAATATCTTGGGGTTGTAAACATAAGAATTAATCTTTATTCAGAAACCTGATGTTTTCTGCATCTGCCAGAACTTTATACCTACTCACAAGGTATTTTGATGCGACACTTTGCATTCGTTAATTTTACCTGTCTTGGTATAAGCCAATACTGAGTAATACAGTAGTCGAAAAAAATAAGTGAAGTATCTAACGTAAATGGTAGACGAAGAAGTCCATGCACTAAACATTTCCTCTTTAAAGAGTTCAAAAAAGTTAAATGAATGCAGTCCAAGATGTGACTAATTATCTTATCAAACACAAAGTTTGTACAATATGGGCACCACGATATGAGCGACACAAAACGAGTAAAACACAATATATGGTATAGCAGTGAAGTGATTGAAAAGCATGACCACCAAAAGCAAGTACACATACTTAACAAGTGCATTCAAGGAGTAATTGTCACTTCATGCTACTTTCTGAAAGATAAAGGAGAAAATTGCAGCATGTTCACCACTGACTACGATACTAAGATATACTAACGCCCTAGGCCACTGATCCAGACTATCTCTTATACTCTGCTTAGGTAGTCATGATGTGTAAGGTAAGGTTATGATGCTACATAGATTGAAACGCCTAAGACATTTATTACGAATGCTACGACATAGGCTACCTCAACAAACAATGCTAATTGATATGAGACTAAGTCAGAGAAGAGTCGGAGATAGTCAAACCAAAGCATGGTAACAGCCCACGAGTGTTGGTTTGAGTCATGTAGGAATATGTAGACTACCTGGCTGGGATCCTGGAGATGCTAAAAGGTAACAGCTGAATACTGTTGGTGACACTGCTCAAAATCGCTCTGTGGTGCAGATGCATTGACTATTTGTGATTCCCCAGATCTATTAAATCCCCATAATTCTCACTGCAACACACTTCTGTTTACTATGGCTTCTTAGCATATTTTTCTCTGCTTTTAACTATGAAATGTGGCAACCGGAAGTGAAAAGTCCTCTATTGAAAATTCAGTTAATACTTGATATAAGTTAATGAAGTCAGGCAAGTGTGCTTGTTTACTTTATGAGTGACCTCCCTCCCTGTATTTTTGTTTTATTTGTGTGGCATATATACTGGAGCTCATATTGTAACAATTTTGTGTTCCTAATAATAAATGTGACCACCTTCTACACGATAGTACACGTGAGTGAATGCACGTCAAGTCACAGTGGTTAGATCCCATAAAGGTTATAAACCAACTTGTGAGGGAGTGGAAGATGACGGTGTTTTTAAGACTACGCATAGCCTTGGGTGAAAATTGGAATTTCTGACTGGCGAGACTGAACACCAAAGGATATGTATTCAGTACCACCACCAATGGGATAAAAACAAGGAGTGACGTAATGTGTTATCAAGAGGTGATATCGATATCCTTCATACATGACAACTCTACAATAGGAATAACTAAGAATGACTGCGTGACAGATTTGGAACGTGCTAATATGAAAGAAAAAATGGAAACAGGCTACTGAGATCGTAAATATGAACAAGAAATGTAGGGAATTTAAATGCACTATACACGGTAGGTCAGGATCATAGAATCTACTCCGCAATTTAGAATGATTGCATCAAAATGCTCAGTAAGGTACAATGAAATACCTAAGTACTCTCAAAGGTGGGACACAGTCATCCAGATCTGCAGTACCTAGCCAAAAGGAATACTGAGTTATTTCGTCTGGCAGCAGGAAGGACACCAGTGGACAGACATGTGGCAAATGTTGGAAAGCAAATAAGCTGAACAGTGGCTTGGAAGTAATTACAGACTATATTTAAACAACGGAAGTTCTGGAGAAATGTGTATAATGGAACATGTGTGGACATTATCTATATGGCTTTGAAAAGTTTTAATTGCCACACTTTTACACCCTAGGAGCCCTAATTGGAGTGTTCGGAGCAGAAATTGACTACTAGAGGTACTCGATAAATCTTAAGTCCCGTTACCATTGCAGATGCGCTTTTTTGTTGGAGCATAACACAAGCACCTACTATGCATTTGTTTAATGCGTCAGTTATGGGACATTGTATAGAGGAAAAAATTGATTTGAACTAATGTCCGGCCAAATTACCAGTTTGAACGGGCACATAAAATTAAAGAATAAAATATCCCTACAGTGAATTTGCGATGTGAGAAGAGAGAGTAGTCAAATACGTATAAATGCATTTCAATGTCTGGAAAAGCTTGTCATTGGGACATCACCCGTATGCAACTAGTGTTTAACTTCTCGACAACTATAACCACTAAAACATCTTCACTGACTACAACAAATAATCAGCAACTACCTCCCGGTATCGTTGTGGTAAAATTACTTTTTTCCAAATTATTCTTTTTCCAAATAAAATAACTCAGGAAGATGTCTAGCACAGATCTTGTCCAACTGAACTGAAACCTTGCAGTCCCGCTCGTTGACTTTTCTGTGAATACACTTCCTATGCGTCATCTCAAGGTGTTCATTTGCCATGCTGCGATCATTTCACATCAACAGCAAACTTACATTAGCAGTGACATAACATTAATAATAACTTCATTCCCAAACAGTACATACATGTATGAAACGCACCCAGCAATATATTTTGAAAAAACCAAACCAGCTGAATCTTCTAAATAAGTGCAAAACATGAATAGTAGCATATGATTCTGCGTTATACTTTACCGGGACACACCGTGAATCAGTGATATTTAGTAGGATTCAATTCAAACACAATCTATTCTGTCAATTAAAATGGAATTATGTACCATCACGAAGTTTTAAACATATGACTTGTTATCTCCCTACTCGAGGAACTGAGTTTTTTCTGTAGATATTTGTATCAATTCCGCAGCTAAGTGGTGTACATACCGCCAGGTCTAGTTGCGTCACTGACGTCATTAATAGACAAACTAATCAGATATATTATAAAGTCAAACAACATTTTGGCGTGCAGTGTTTGTAAAGGCACACACAACCACTTACCTGATTTTCTTTATTTTGTTCAATTGTACGACTCCAAATATGCCATGATCCAGCAAGTAGTAGAATGCGGTCTTCGGCCAGGTTGGATATACACTAATAATTAAAGCCCTTGCAAATCCATGACTATGCGGTACCACAGCGACTGTCCCTGACGTCACTGGTTCACATAGTTGCATACGGTAGCTATTAGTGGAAGTATAATCCTTGTCAAGTTCAGTTTGCATCTCCAAGTAGTTGTTGTACTCTTCATCCGGTATTGTCAAGAATAATTCCTTAGACCCATAAAGACTACGGATCTGAACTGGCACCGGTTCCCCTAGAGGTAGGTGGCGCTGTATTTTATTAATCACAATCACAAGAAACTCACCTTCAACTGACTTGGGTTTCCAATTGTCGTCATGGAGGGACGCATTTTGAAGCGATGAGCAACCCATCGTAGTACGTCATTTTTGTGTCGCAGTGGGCACGATAGCTTGAGAACCAGGGTGTCTTGTTTTCCTGGACAGGTGTTTAAGTTGAATTCAGCTTGCCACGAATTCCTTAACTCTCTTACATTCCTAGGAAAATATGTAGACAGAAGTAAAACTTACTTTCCAAGTCGGCCAATAAGCACACCACCCATATACGCCGGTATTAGGAAAGTTTCGTGCCAAATGTCCCTGTCAACAGCTTCAGCCCACATATCACTGGGGATGAGAACTGTTGGTAGGATTTTCCCATTTATTTCTTCAGGATTAGCTTCATATATGTCATTTGAGGGGTCACTGAAGCCATCTGGTGGGAGCGGAATTCCGCACAACCCGTCGTTTGAATCAGGGGTCAGAGCTCGATCAGATTCAGAGCCTGAGTTAGTCTTCAGTCTACTAGTTACCGACTGGATAACTTCCATCTGTAACAGGTATGAAGGAGTCACTGAACAAAATGCTTTCTCAGCTGGAGGTTGTGCGTCTAAGAATGAAACACTTTGTAATTCCGAAACTGATTCCTTCAGGGCCACTGAATACCCGTCGACAGGGATTATCTAGGGGTTATTAAGTTAAAGAATAGTAATACCTTTACAAAGCTTTCCGAAGATGCGTTAATAGGACTTAAACTACCTTCTTCAGTAACAAGATCCTTAAGTAAATTTCAATCAAATTATGGTATTACTTGTAGATAGTCGGACGTCTCGTGAATACAAGTTGACTGAGAAGTCAGACAATATCCAGAAGCCTGTGAAAGGCTCCTTTCGCTAACTAATTTAAGCTTGCGCTTTCTCCGATAGTAATTTAGCAGATAAACCAAAGTAACAGCAAGAGCAGAGTAAACAACCAGCCTACTTTGCGTAGGCATGCAACTAAACTGTTACCAAAACTACTGAAGCGCGTAAAACCTAGTAATACAACACTTACCACTACAACCTTGACGTCAACTACTGCGACGTGAAAAACATGCGTGAACTTAAAGTGCCCGCGACCATATATACACTCGCCTAAACAATATATAATACATTACCAAACAATGTTTTAAAAGTTTGAGGTATTAGGTCTTGCGTTGGTATACATCGTACTATCCGTAAAAGCCAACTCATTCAGCTTCTGAAACATATATCCCGGGGAAATAGTCTTTTTGAGCAGTAACAGATTCCACTTCAAGGCACATTCCTTAGCTTTTGGTTTCCACGCAAGACAGTGGTCTTGTGAATGAAGCCTTATTGTTTGGGTGACTTGCTCTGAATCGTCTGCAGGCACGAAAATCTTATTTCGTTTTCCAGATGACTTCCAGAACACCGAACATTAGACATACCTTGTCATCCAGAAATCCTACTGGGAGAGCCGAATCAAATATAAGCCCATAAATATGAGTACAATTCATATTCATCCATTGACTGTCTGCTGTATGGTTCGCCGAAAGTTTCAGTGCCTCACATTTTCAATGGTTCTGCGAATGATGTCGGTTTGTGATGTCTGAAACTTCTTTCTTCTAGGAACTTCAGTAGGACAGTGAGGCATAACAGATCCATGAACTCAAAATTCTCAGTTTTCTAATTCTACAAGGCATGCATGCAAAGAATTTTCACATATCTCATAAGATCCACTTCAACTTAACTGTATATACACACATAAGCCTCGGGACGTTTATTTTATTGAAGTTATCCATGGTGGTGGAATTATCCCTCTCAGCATATGCTGGATATCAGCATGTAGCAACAACGTAAACATGTACAAATGATGAACCTGATATACCAAACAACTTATTGATGGCGAAAAATGCACAGCTTTCCATCTTGGTACAGAGGGAGTTCACCTACTGGAAAATAAACAGGGTACATTCAGACACTAAAACTAAACAGTAAAACGGCTGCCTATGATTTGAACTTCAAACGTTCGAAAACAACTAGGCCCTAGAAGGGACTTAGTGAGGTTGTCTGCAGGGCTTCCACCTCGTTCAACGATTGGTCTTGGCTAAAATGGCACAGACGATTGTCTTCTAGCCACTCACCTTTATGGGTATACCTCCTCCGACTGACAGCACTCAACTTAGCTTAACCAGTATCTGCCATTACTGGTAAACCATTGAAAACTAAAATTCCTCTATTAAACGTACGTACCAAGTTCACCCATGATTAGTATGACTATCACACGGTGAGCTTCTATTTATACACTTTGAACCAACCAGCATGAAAGTGAAGTACCAAAATACACACTCCAATGCCGGCAAAAGCAACGTCAATTTGATATTTTATTCTTCCTGGTAAATGACTCTTCAAATGCGAAAAATGCATTCGCACTCGTTTCTATGCATCATAAGGGTATCAAAAATGAAGATCTGATTGCTACTGAAAATCCTACTCTAATTCAATCCCAAATTCTATAATAAACAAAGGTGAACTAATCCGATATTTCAGTTACCTAGCTGCAGTAGAAAGTCGAAGAAGTTCACCAAATCTATCCAGCCTCGGTCGTTTTACCTTCAGCAACCAATTTGTTCACTGTTCGGGGTAAAACACACAGTGGATAGTTGGATTTTCAAGGGACAAAATCTCAACGGAGACAGTGCGTTTTGATCGTATATCTCTATACTCTCCTAATATTATCGTTAATTAATACACCTTCAAGCGGCTGTAAATGTTATATTCTTTCTTTTCTAGATGCAGCGGTGTTAAAAACAGCATGGCCACCAGGCTAGGTGGGCCAGTCTAGAGGGTTGGTGGGTGGTGTAGCAAAACGTCATGTATGGCAGGGTTGACAGCCATAGATCAATCGTCAGCGTTATTACTAGTCGGAACTAACTGGAAGTATTGTTCACTGTAACTTATAATTTCTGGTGTTCTTTGGTTAAATTTAAACTTATTTGACTGATCATATTCGTACGTGTGCTTAACTTACTTTTTTCATCATAATATTTGATTTATTGATCATGGAGTCTGACACAAAAAACTTTATTTCCACGGAGATAGACACCTTAGTAACTCCGAAAACTAGCATACCTGAATTTGATAGACATGATCCTGAATTATGTTTGCTCAATTAGAGCGTTACTACGACCACTATAACTCCAAGTTTGAAAGTTCCAGGTATAGGGACGTATGTTCTTAACTATCTTATCCCATTAGCAAAGAAGTGCAAGGGCTTGTGCTTCATGCCCCGTCAGAGCAAAGATATACTACACTTAAGCGTAAATTGATAAATGCAACGATTATTTCTGGGCGGGACCACGGGGGTTAGATCCCCATCACAGTTCCTGCGTCACTTGCAGCGACATGTGAGAGGCAAGGCGGGTGGAGAGGATGTGATAAAGCAAGGCTGGATGCAAGCCGTTCCGGAATATACGCAATATGCACCAGATGCTCAGAATGAAGGACAAGGGAATTATGCGAATAGGCGTGATGACCCAGTAATTTCATGGCTCGCGGCCAGCGTTAGATCACCGGCGCAAATGCTAACACAATTGCAGTTAACGCAGAGCAGTCGAGCAAGATCCCCTGGCATTTTCAGGGTGAGGCGCATGCATATAGCAAACAACCTTCTTCAAACCCTGCACACAACTATTAGGTCACGTACTATCTCATCACCCTGGGCGGATCTGGCAAAGAAAGTCCCGAGGACACCATCAGATAGTATGACAGGCTAGGCACTTCATAGCAGACAACCCTTGGGATCACAAGCAGATCCAGGCAAACCAGACCAACAGAGAAATTTTGTTGGCCCCACTGTACCTCTAGCGCACAATCAAATAAATGCACATAGTCATATGCCCGGCTTGGATAAATGGATCAGCAATATGGAAACCAGTAGAACCCTTTCACTTAGCGACTTCTCAGAGAGAAGGCCCTGATAGTCGCTTAGTTCGCACCAAGAAAAGAATCTCTGGCACAGATTTCTTGAACGATACTAGGCTACAGTCATACCGAAAGCAGAAGCGAGGCAGGGACGAGAAGTTATCTCCATCAATATATAAGCGGTCAACGAGACCGAAATCTCGACTTTCGGTCAGAATACACTGACACTTGATGCGGAGTTTAAGCGACAGCTCCCATGGATTTTTACTGTTGCTGACCCAGACCTAGCAATTATTGGCCTAGACTTCCAGGAACAGTATAAGTTGATATTGGATACTCGAAAGAGACGACCAAGATTGAGACAAACGTCCAGGTATGCGAATAGCAAGTTGAGCCCTCATATATCACTAAACTTAGTTCATCCTCCATCAGTATTGACCGAAAGGTTCCTGGAAATAGTGGCTGAATTTCCTACTATAAGGGCAACCAGCCCTCAAAATTCCGAGGCTGCTCCAAACACCATGCATGTAATAAAGATGAGTAGTCCCCCTGTTTTCGCCAAGCCAATGAGGTAGAAATGGCGAAAGCAGAATTCGACTACATGCCTCAGTTGGAGACAATACGGCCCTCTAATAGTCAATGGACTTCACCGTTGCACACGGTTTCCAAGAAGAATCAAAGTGACTGGCTATCCTGTGGTGATTACAAACTCCTGAATAAACAAACCGTTTTAGACAGATACTAATAGTCTCCGCGGCACCACAGTCTTTTCTAAAATATCCTCAGCTCGCACCTACCACAACGTCACAGTGGCTGAGGAAGATATACCTAAAACAGACATCCCCACTCCATTCGAACTTTATGAGCTTTTGCGGATGCTATTTGGTATTCAGAATGCTGCACACTTTTCAAAGATTTATGGATGAATTGTTGCGAGGCCTACCGTTTGCTGAAGCTTTCGTATATGTCCTACTCATCGTTAGCCCGGAAATATTCGGGCAGCGTTAGGAAAACTGTGAGGAAAGGGAGAAAATCTGATCCCTACAAACCAACTCGTTCAAACAAAGAGCATGACAACTGATTAAAGTAAGTGCTTTTTGGAACAGGAACAATAGGATTCTTCGAGCGTGCCTCTTAGAGTCTTGGCATGCAACCACTACCCAAGGGGGTGTTTCCCATCGGACAGTATCACTACTGACTTCCATCACTCAACTACTAAGTTTTCTAGGTTTGATCAACTTCTGCAGACGCCTCATACAAAAATGTGCACAATAAATGCAGACTCTCACTGACGCACCATGGGGTAAGCAAAAAGGCTTCCAGTTATCACAGGTGGCGACTGATGCGATCGTACAATTGAAGGACGCACTGGCAAACACTACAGAATAAAAGCATCTTGACACAGATGCGTTTCTCACTCTAATGGCAGATGCATCTGATTAGGCTGTAGGAGCAACTTTAAATCAGCTTGTTGGAAGTACCTGGGAACCAGCCGCGCATTTCTAAACATCTAAATCCCATGAAAACAAGGTATTCTGCCAGAGCCAGGGAGCTGCTATAAATCTACATATTTTTTTGATTTACAGCTTGATTGCACACCGTATTTTCAGTACAAGCATGGAAATTTCAGCATGGATATCGGTAGCCCAAATTCAGGCTGACCATAGATATCGGGTGTGCGCCGGCAGGGGATCGAACCCCGGACCATGTACATGGTCGGCGAGAGTCCTTACCACTGTGCCACATAACGCATAAACACTGCCAACATATGGATAAAAGCGGGCTATTGAAGATCTACACTGTTCAAAGGCGTCTCACCAGCGCATTCAAAGCAATACCTGGCAAAAATTCAACAGGCAAAGCTCACCATCTCGGTACAGATGCATTACCACGATTGCATATCTAGGTTGAATTATACAGCAATGTTATCCTCATCAACACAACAGGTCTGTGTATCTTACAATATTTTAATTATTTCTCTATGCTATTAACACTCTGCATAACTGTTTACAGTTGAGACCTACGTTCTTTATATTTGGTGGCTATGGTTCACTAAATACGAGAGTGTAATTTCTGTAGGATTAATAAAACTTTTTTTACTAGACCTTACTGAGATTGTGGATCAATTTCTAAGTTACACATCTGCAATACTTCATTTGATGTACACGCATTTGTTGTGAGGTTGATCTGCGAGTAATCTTGATGACAGAATGACCCCGCAATAGTATGGAATTTTCAGAGATTGTCTTGAAATTTGCGTATAACCCTCTAA